GTTCTAAAGGTATTTGCTTCGGTCGTAAGTGTCTGGAGTAGCGTAAATATCAATGAAGTTATGCTAGGTATTGTACTTGTCAACAGACTGAGCTAAAACGTTTGTTAATATTGGCTGACTACTTCTACTGTTTGTTTGTGCCTCCGTTTTGTTTCATTGATTAATTCCGTGCAGATTAACCGTTTTTCTTTTTAGTATCATGCCTATTGGAAGGGGTAATCGCCGTGATGTTAAAAATCTCTCAAAGAATCGCTTCTCAAAATTGGATGCTGATATCGTCAGTTCATACGTGGATGACGAAGAAGGTTGTTTATTTTAAGATTTTCTGGTTCATTTTTTGCCGATTTATTGTGACGTGCGAGGTGGCTTGGGCTTGTCTCCGTAACTGGGTCGTGCTTTTTGTAAGGCTTCAAGCATTCTTCCTGCTTTGCGGTAACGATTTGATACATAGGGTAGACAAAAGTCAAAAGAACGCTTGCTCTTGTGAAACGCCTTCTTCTGTGCAGTAGCAGCGCCCTGGTTTTGTCTGCGAAGAAGTATACTAAAGTCAGGTTTGGTTGCCCACTGGGCGCTTTTGTGGAAGGACAAGGGGCATCACAAATGTGGTGATTTGTTTTGTAGAGAAACAAAGCGGAAAGTTTAGGTGAATGGGTCCATTTAGAGGTTATGCTTTGTGCTATGGTTTTGGGGTGACAGCGTGAAGAAAACGACGTTCGCAACTTTTCACTCGAGTCTCGTACCAGTCAAATGACGCTATGAGTAGAAGCTTTGTTAGCCTGACCGGTTTGACTCGAATTTCACCGATGAACTACTATGCGGCTGATAAGCGAACACAATCACATTAAATACGCATTCTCTACCTATTTACTAAGGGGTTGTTTCTTCACTTCTCGTTCAATGGGTGACTTGACTTCATATGTTTTCCTGAATTTTAACCTTGTCAACACATTGTGAATTTTTATAGAGGAAAGGCCGCGGAAGCCACAAGGCTCGGTAAGCCGTGTCATCAACCTGCTGGCTGGGCGAGTCATGCATGGACAAGGTGGGAGCCGTCGCGGCAAAAAGGAAGAGCAGACGCTACGGAGCGCAGGAGGTGTTGCCCGCCACGCGGAGATGGTTTATAAAATCAGAGTAGGTTACTTGGCCTCTTCGTTGTTGAGCTTGGCATAAATGTTATGCTAAGGGAAAAGGATGTCGAGAATTCTGACTTCATCACAAAAGTCTTGCTTATCGTTTGGAACTCTGCTAGAAATAAAATCTTGTAGAGATAGCAAAATTTTTGTAGGACTACGATTATCATGAAGTTTTCGCCGTTCTAGTTTTGTTTCTCTTAGATTCCATTTGGTCGGAAGTTCACGGTCCCTTGGATAATGAAACAGTTACATCAACAAATCGAAGACATCAAACCGCTGCTAGTCACAATCACACCAAGAGGAGACGTCGAGTTCTTCTTGAAGGTTAGTACATCATTTTTCTGGCTTTCGGTCCGTAATGGAAGGGGTTTCCGTCGTCACTCTCGGAGGCGCTTGTTCTTGTGGTTCTTCATAGTTTCGTTCTGAAATATTTTTGACATGGATAATGGAGATGCTTTTAGAGTGAAGACTCGGCAGAGGCATGCCGAGCTATATCACGTCGTATTGTTCACAGAGTGACAGGCGATCGAATGACAATTGTTGTTGACAAGGTTGTAGCTCCATGGACTCGACTGAGCAAAGAAGAGACATCGGTGATACAGGTTTGTGAGAGCTTTCTTCTTCGGGTGTTCCTTTCAAATTCGTGATGATAAAATATATGTGTTAAGTACCACTTGTAACTGATGTCATTTGTAAGTATGATATTTCTGATAGCTCTTTTTTCACGATAGCTTCTCTGCAGTAAATTTCGGTGTCTTATGAATTCTTTTCACCATCTTGTGGCATTTTAGATGGTCGTCGATAGTCGCTATAATCATGACACCCGATCACTCGACCTTAGCGAGTTCGCTTTAGATCCAAGTGAGTTACTTTTATCTCTTTTTTTGCTGTCTTTGTTTTTTTCAATAAGTAAAGCTTTCCAGAGTTCAAAGAACGTGATTTGCACATGATGCTCAATAAGAACAATGTGATGCTAACAGTCGTTGACAGGATTGACGAGAAATTCGGTTCGATAACTGCACTTAGCCTACAGGTATACTAAACGGAAATAAAATAAAATGGGAGCGTTAAACATTAGATAGGAATGATGCTAGGGAAGGGAATGATTCAAAAAAAAACTAAACTATTGAATGGTTTGAGAAAATAGAAAGTAAGCGCTTCCTCCTTCCCCTAGTTCTTTTTTTCGACACAAATCATGTTTCTTATTATACTTCAATTCAGGGCAATCGGCTGAGATTTTTGGACTACGCCGCTGTTTTAACGAGTGTTACAAAGTTCCTGAAAGTGTTAGATTTGTCGAATAATCAGGTGATTTTTCATGTTTTGCTTAAGTTTCACCATCATTTGGTTGGTCGTAATACCATACGATCTAATTTGATCTTATTGCTCATTTAAAATTCACCATTCTAATGAATTGGTTTCACTCAGAAAAGCATCTGTTACAGATTGACAAAATCAGCGAGTTGGAGAAATTGAAGGGTCTGCCTGTTGAGACGCTATTCTTCGAAGGAAATCCGCTTGTCGAGCAGCTTACGACCGCTTCTGGATATCTCAGGTCTATTGTTAGGCGAATTCGGAGTGCTGAGTTTCTGTTGTGCTTATTGTGTTCCTATAGTCTCATTGTAGCAGATTTCGCCATGAAGTGCTTTTTGTTGATATTCCCTTATATTTCTCAGGAACATATTAAATCTCATTTGTCCAGACTGGATCACAGTCGGGACTCAATATGGTCGTCGTTTTTTTTACTTATTGATTACCTTTTCATACCATGACCTTCAGCGCTGTTCATCAAGTTTTCCCGAGAGTTTGCGTATTGGTGAGTGAGATAGATTTTTTCGCAATAGTCGTATTCTAATTTTGGTCTGGTATAGGATGGTGCTCCAGTTCAACCTGCGACAGTACATGTGCAATCCTTGGACGACGACGAAGTTACATCAGAACCTCCGTGTAGGGTAGGTATAGCTCTACCTCAGCAAAGCGTCGTGCATTTTTGTGCATCACTGCCGACTTTATGAATTCTGTCAGACTTCTGCTGTTTAGCCAGGATTTTATGGAAACGATGCTCTGCGAGTATTGGTGGAACGTTTTCTTGTTGAGTACTTCAAGCTGTATGACGGTGAAGATGGGGCTATCACACGAAAAAGCCTCGTTCAAGCTTACGATGCAGATAATGTGAGCTATTCTAGGTTTTGACTCTAGTAAACAAAGTAAAATGTAGTGATAAAGTGATGTGAACTAGCTTATTTTTATAAGGACTGGTTTTTCAGTCTTCCTTTACAATGACAATCGCCAATATAAAGGACATGTGTCATGAAGGACCAATGCGATATCCAGATGAGTAAGTGTACCTTTTGTCAGACTTCTGTCTGTACATAGTGAATATTTCGACTTTGTGGCCGGATTACAAGATGGCTAATAATTTGAGACCACCTTGATCGAAAGTATGCCTTTTACAATGCCTTTTACAATGAATGTCTAATCTAAACGCTTTTTAGTGCGTGCTACAGCCTGTATATCCGTTCATCTCACAACGTCTTGTGTGAAGATAGATGGTCGCGAAATCGCAGCACTCGTACTTTTCGAGGTATATATTGTTCCTTAGTTACTATTTTCTCTTTGAGAATCGGGAATCTGTTGAGTATCTGGGCGGAAATGTCTCCAGGGGTCACTTCCCAGCTCACGATTTGGAGTCAGATCTTGATCTAATCTCGCCCTGGCCAACCTAGAGCTGTATCATATCCTACCCTAGGTGGACGAGTCTCCCGCCGCCGATTCTATTCTAAGGTCGGCGGAAACATGGTTTCATCGTAGGACCCTTCATACTTTTGCGTTCATATCTTCAGGACAGTTAGAGCAGCGTGACCCCTTGGAGAAAAGAGTGCTCCAATAGGAGAGAGTAGCTATAAGATCGACCGTTTAATGGCGGTTTCTATGATGTAACCCTCTTTTCCGTTCACGGACTGCTTGAACCCGTCTATCAAACCGCCCCCATTTGTTGCTCCCTCCAGCGCTCCTCGTGTAAACTGCGGCCCATGACTACTGTGCTCTCCAAACCTCATACTCTTGCTACACTGTAATTCGCGCACTCACCCAAGAATCCCTTCCCCCTCTAGGGCTCAGTCTTGGGGCTCGCACTTTCTTATGATCTGGAGCCAAACCAGGCGCCGTTCTTCAATCGTATGTGCTCTAGCCATTTGTGGCAGGGCCATAAGAAAGTTTAAGTAACCAGTTAAACTTGTCTTTCCCAACCTTAGGATTGGTTCAGCGATGGCGACATGTTCCCTTGGGGAAACGATAGGATACGGTTCCAAGTTTTCGTCCCTCTGGGATCGGTTTACTGGTGACAGACCCATCTGGGAGGATGAAAGCGTTGTCTTCTAAATTGAACCACCCCGTAAGTCATTTTATTGACCGTATCGTATTCAAATATCACTACATCAGTGATTCTGGAAGTAATAGAGTACTTCGTGCGTGCTAGCAGGGATTGATCAGACGTGAAAGTACTTTTTTATTGAGTATCTGCAAATTTATATTAAGGAGCAATGGACATTGCCGTGGCTCTTTCTAAGCTGCCGATCACGAATCACTACACTGAATCCTTCATGGTGGACACACACTTGATATCTGTAAGCGTCATTTAGTTACAATTCTTCTAGTTCAAATTTATGGACCTTGCAATGGACCCAAGTTCTATTTGTTTAATGGTAATTCCTGCTTGTTGGAGCATCATTTGATATATCCATTTCATACTTTCTCTATGATTGGATCTTCTCATGTTTTTTTCCTCTTGATGGCGGAAGTTATCAATTTTCAAAAATCATATTGCTTGGAACATTTGCCTGAACGTCCTTATGCGTTCCCTTTGCTCACCTTTTATCTGTTTCTTTTTCTTCCCTTTTCCTTTCGTCTACATTTGGCTGTGTTTAATTTTTACTTATTTAATTATTATTTTTTTTGAAATTCTTATGGTAATAATGTTAATGTTGTTACAGGAAGAACTGCTGGCATTCACAGTTCAAGGACTTTTCGAAGACGGAAGGTTCGCGAAAGCTGGAGATATCCCACAACTAAACTACTTCACACGATCATTCGTGGTGTCTCCACGTGGAAATGAGTAAGTATAAGCTGTGTTGACCGCGATGCAACCATTGGACAACAAAGTTAAGTGTTCAAGTTGTATGTTCCTTTTTTCAGATCCATAGCTGTTCTGTCCGATATGCTGTTCATCAGTGGAATCACTGCGGCACGAATGGCACGATATAAGTTAATGCTAAACAAGGTGTGTAAATTGTATGCATTGAAAAAGGCCATTGACTTCCAGTTTAGTATGAAACTTAAAAACAAGGTTTTTTTTTCTCAGGCGGCATCAGCAGGACCAGCGCCTCCTCTTCCTCCCGCTCCGGCCAATCCAGTTGTGCAGGCGGCTGAGGTATGTGACTCTGTATATCATTATTGTTCAATTTTACGTATAATGCCTAATGTAGAAGTGAATTCCAATGGATGCAACCTTTTTAGTCCATTAGCGGCCTGCAAATGTCTGGCCAGCAGCCATCACCGGAAGTCAAGAGACAGATGATTGAGCAATTTTGCAAAGACAGCGGCATGATAGCATCTTTCTCGGAGAAGTGCTTGATAGAATACGACTGGAACTATGAGGTACGTGCTGGAACATTTTTTAATATTTTATATTTTATGAGGTCACTCGTATGCTGCTGGACTGCAAGCGCGTATCTCACTGAAATTCCGCATGATTTGTTCTTCCAATTCCACCATATACTTTTTCCTGATGGGAAATTCACAAGAAGTTTCCCGACTGATAATCCTTTGGTAACAAATTCATTGATGTAATTTGGTTTAAAGGAGGTCCGCTATCTAAGCAGTCCACTTCACATGATGTAAAATGTGCAACAGTTTTGGTGCAACAGCTACTCCCGTCCTTTTAAACGCGGTTTTATTTTTAAGTATCTATAGGAAGGGATCTGGAATATTAATAGAAACATTAGTGAAATAGAACCGATGGAAAGATATCGTGACTTCACGTTAGTAATACGTAGGAATATTAGGTAGCATTACTAGTTTGCGGTCGGTAAGTGTCGGATTTACGTCAGATGCAAGCGGATTGCACTTGCAAACTGTGAACGTTGCATTACCTAGCGCCATCCTTCGTGCTGATTACTGTATATTTGTCCGAAGCATGTATCCATGTAATTGGCTGAGGTCTCAACTTCCACCTTTAGGCTGCCGGACAAGGTTTCCTGAGTATAAAGGACAAAATACCAAAAGAAGCGTTCGGATCTGTTTGACATCAACTAGTAGCGACTGTACATATCAATTTTAGTTTTAATTTTTTTAGAGTTTCGAAAAATTGTTGAGATCACTAAATTTATGTTTTTGTAACTATTTTATTGTTGTACGTACTATGACTGATACTGTATAGTGGGTCTATTAGAAAACCAAAATTACATTGAAGATTTCGATGGCCTCAGCTTGGCAGAGATGGGCGAGCTATTAACCAATATTCACATCTTCTGCGCAAGTGGCATTCCCAATTTTGCACTGTCACCGTAAAAGGTGGTGCGACGGATCAACCTGGTCTTCGCTTTTGCCAACTGCATAAAGTCACAGTTATGTCGACTTTCACTGGCACTATATTCACTATCAGCGGGCCGGTCCATCCACTGTTCTGGAAGGCAACTTGTGCATCTCTTAATTTCTATGCGTTATAGCTGCCCCCATTTCGCCAGAGCCTGTTGTCATTGATGTCCAAAATGGATTTTCACTTTTGAAAAAGAAGAATAGACCCCTATTCGTTTACTGTCGTTGCAAGTATTGTTGATGTTCTTCGAACACCTTTGTCATGTGTTGGTACTGTGAGAGAAATAAGTATTTCATAATTTAAGTGATAAAACTCTTGAACCAAATGTGTCGATTTTTTCCGAACAGTACAGTGGATAAAACATAAATGGCCAGTACTGGGCTCTTATTTATTGGCAGCAGGTTGTGCGTCAACCCAGGGTCGCTATATGATACGAAAGGATACTTTGGAAAACAAATTTATAGCGCATTCTCTCAAAGTAGAAATACTCAAAGTACAAACCCTTTATGAATGTAAATAACCTAGTATAACAGACGAAAACTTGTTACTAACTATTTACAACTATCACCTACGATATAGTATTTCTCACATGCAGTGAGAATGAATTTCATGACCTCTTTAACAATCGCATAAATCGAAAATCAGCTTGAGAGAGTGAATCGCTCCGAATCCGGACATAAGACCGCCCGCACCGGGACGCAACAGCCCCACACCAGATTGCACCCGGAATTTAACGCACACGACAGCACCCAACACTCTCTCGAAACACAGATACTTTAACGTCCTCGTAATCAATGTGAAACCAGCCCATACTCGACAGTCAACACAATGTAAGTAACCACCTAGGCCAGTTTGACAGAGTCTAACGCGAACGCCGTTCTGCTTAAACGATAATTCTAAGAGCAAGACACAATGAACATCCCAAGACGATAGTCGCCCAGTCGTGTCAGAGAGAGCGGCCGCCTAACCATCAACCAACACAAAAATTGCGAGATATGTCCTCATCGCCCTCGTCCATAAAAAACCACACCTTCAGCAAATACTCAGCCGCGCGCGGAACCTCACCAATTCGTACCACCAAACACTCATAAGCCGAGATAACATATAATGAGCGCTCTCTAATTATCCATGACCCGCTGCGCATTCACAATACCAACACCCTCCTATCCAACTCACCCGACCCCCTACTCGAACTAACGAATAGACTACGAAAACATGATAGATTAACCAAGAAAAAAGGATTCATTGACGCTTACACCCCCTTCATTTGAACAAACTCTCTCCTCACACCCACCCTCACTACTGCATTCCCTAATCTGCGAGCTGGTACCCAAGAAGGTATGGCTAAACGAGAAGAGCAAATAAGAGTTGACGACCATAACCTATGCTAACCTTGATACCCTCGCCCTCATATCCCCTCTTGCGCAACCTATACGGACATCGCCCAACTTGCACCCTCTCACCGGCTATAGTCTAGGGCAGCTCTCTAAACGTCCATGGCTCCTAACCATGCGCAGACGACACTGAGGAAAAATCAAGTAAGTCGGTGAGCCACAAAAAGGAATTTATTGACGCTGAATGTACTATCCTCTTATCATTAAGAGATACAACTAAACTAATGACGGATGGAGGAAAATACATAAGTTAAGCAAACCATGACAACTTACTTGTTGTAGGCCATTAAGTTCGCATGTTCTAGATCAAGAAACTCCTTGTAGAAAACAGATAGATCATTTGCCGAAATTTGCTCTATCCGTCCAATCTCCTTTTTCGCTTGTAAAAAATTAATCAGATCATACCTACAGTCAACGAGCTGGTTGAATGGGGCTAAAATACTGCAAACATTTTGAACCTACTTGACGAATTCCCAGACTTCTCCTGTCAAATAAAAGTGTTGTGTCCTTCCCAAGAAATGATGAGTTCACATCTAAAATATTATTTTTCAAGGGAAACATCAACATGGACCTCAGATATATGACTAAATATTGATATATCAGTGGAACACCTGTTCAATTCTTCGCGTGCCTCTCGATATTGTCACTCCAAATCGGTCTCATTGTCCACTCTTCGGAGCCGTACAATGTGCTCTGTAACATCCCGTGCAGGAACCGTAAGTGCGTTAAGCCTGAGGCCTTACCGCACACGGCTAAACTATGCAATTACTATTAGTGTAAACACAGTAAACATTCTGACAAATGCGTCTTTAGGCTTAATGGCCTGATTTATTGAAACTGGTGCTCGCGGCCCTACCATCGTAGCGCGATCCATTCGGACTCTGGTGCATGCGATAGACAATTTTCTCGGCGTGATTTCTGGTTGAATTGGTAATCTTGAGACACTGGCTGACCATTGATCACAGGCAACATTAGGATGAGAGCAAGAGCAAGGACAATATAAAAATAATATCGGGTCATGACCTATTCCAAAACATCACATAAAGGAATTTCAACAATTTATAGCAACTCTAACAACTTCAAACAACAACAACAACGCTTGGAACAATATCAATTAAGTCACAGCCTTAACAAACTCATCAGAGCAAATTAAGTGAGACCGATAATTGCTTAATTTGGAAACTAGTTTACCTCGAATGTATCAACTGTGCGATCCTTACAAGACTCAAATCACTAATCGAATTCTTTCGAACTGCATCACATTATTTCATCGCGTAATCTCCATACCAAGAAATTATACTGGCATAGCCGCTCAACCCCTATAGCGGTTCGTATCACAAGAACATACGCTGATATCGTTAAGTTGGTGTCTCGAAAAAAACGCGGGTTTTCAAGGATTACGGAGAGCAGGGTCTAAAAAAACTCACATGACAAGCAATATGGGACCCAGCAACTCCTTTGTATTGGTCAAATGTCGAAGATACATTCGCGTGTAGTTTTTGCACGTATAGCATTCGCACGAATCAAACACTTTTCCGTAGTCATCAGCATATCTAAAAGTTAAGCTGAAAGTGAGTAGGTGAAACAAATAAGACTTTTTGTAATCGGCTAGCATCACTGAAGAATAGCATACTTATCGTCGTTGAAATCCAAAAGCTCGAATTGCGACGAGTATGGGTAATCGTCGGCTAAGCGAAGACATTTTGCCTAAAAAGATAAACTTAGTAAAACAAATGTGAAAACCAACGAAAGGGAGTACGGTTTCAGAATCGTAGTTACCTTCGAAATGAGCTAACTAAGTAATTCTATACATCCACAATTTCCACTGTAACGTCATTTGACCTTCAAGACTCAAAGTGCGAATTTTGAGGCTGTGCTATATGTTCTCTTCCATGCCTCTCGAAATCAAGCCAATCGACATTTCGAAGGGATGAAAGGTTTGATTGGTCGACGGTGTTCCACCCATAGGGCACGACATTGAGAGGTGCTTTTGATAACCTAAATTCGTGATCACAATCAGCCTATCTGGCCCAAAATAGAGGGGGTTGGCTGAAATGATCTTATGTCTAGAAAAGCATGAATGCTGGTCGTCCAAGAGCATCTTCGGAATTCGAGTTGAAAACCTGAATAGGAAAGGATACTGTGGAAAACAAATTTATAGCATTTCTCAAAGTAGAAATACTCAAAGTACAAACACTTTATGAATGTAAATAACCTAGAAAAATGACGAAATCTTGTTACTAACTATTTACAACTATCACCTACGATATAATTATTCTCACATGCAGTGACAATGGATCTCATGACCTTTTTAATAATCGCATAAATCGAATCATATTCACTTTGAGTGCTGGCCAGCACAGTGCAAGGTTACGCCGGTACCACTCTCTGAAAAATACTTTTTTGAGCTTACGGTACTAATTGTAAATAAATATGCTGCGGTCAGTCACTTTTTAACAACACAGTGTATAATAGAGTTGATTGAATAGTAACGATCTATCAAGAATGATCGGAGGTCTGCGGATTGACGTTCACGTATTGGTGGCCATTTCCACCGTGAGCAGCGTATTGGGTATTGCATCTCCTATTCGGTTCCTTATACGATCAGTCTAGTTTTATATACCGTTGGTCGTCTATTATCCTATGTCTGGGAAGGTATGAAAATACTCGTTCAGCCTCAGCAGCCTCCGCAATCCACCCCTCTCGGTTTTTCCTGTTGGGACCTATGAAGCACGGTTGTCTCCCAAAGGATCTATTGACGCCGAATTTTCTATCCTCTCATTATTAGGGATGATAAACTAATGATGGATCAAGCTGATAGAGGAAAATACATAAACCAAGCAATCCTAACAACTTACTTGTTGTAGGCCATTCAAGTTCGCATGTTCTAGATCAAGAAACTCCTTGTAGAAAACAGATAGATCATTTGCCGAAATTTGGCTCTTAATCTCCGTCCACATCCATCCTTTTTCGCTGGAAAGAAATGGTCGATATACGTAACCGGCAACAGGAGCTGAGCTGGACTCATAATGATCCGAATCGGACTAACCTTCTGGACGAATTCAGACTTTCTCCTGTCAAATAAAGTGTTGTGCCTCTCCCAGAATGATGAGTTCCATCTAAAATTATTTTTTAAGGGAAACATCAACAAAGACCTCAGATATATGACCGAAAATATTGATATATCGTGATACACGCTGTTGCCGTTTCTTCGCGTGCGCTCTCGAGTAATTGTCGCTCCAAATCGGTCTCATTGTCCACCCTTCGAAGTCTAAATTGTTGTTTTTTTTAACTATCCGCAGTGAAAGGCAATGAAGCCTTTGAGGCCCTTGACTTACCCTGCAACGACAACTCCACGTGAAATTACAATTAGTTTAAAACATTTATTCTAGGAACTTACTTTATCGGCCTGATTTTTGAAACTGGATGCGGCGGCCCTACCCAGTCGTAGCGGCGATCCATTCGGACCTGGTCATCGGATATGACCATTTTCTGGCGTGATTTCTGGTTGAATTGGGAATCTTGGGACATTGGCTGACCATGAGTCTAGGCAACATTAAGATTAGAGCAAGAGCAAGAACAATATAGAAATGATATCAGGTCATGACCTACTCAAAAACCTTAGGTAAAGAAATCTCAACAATTTATTAGCAACTTTAACAACTTCAAACAACAAACAACAACGCTTTGGAACAATACCAATTAACACAGTACCTTAACAAAACTACAGACCAATCAAGTGAGACCGTATATTCTTTAAAATTCGAGAAAAAAGTATAGTTGACTATTGTAAAAGTATCCACTTATGCGACCTACAGACGTCAAATAGTATCAATTCTTCTCAACTGATCACATATAATATGGGCTATATCTCCTTCTACCAAGGAATTTATACTGCATCCGCTTCACCTATAGCGTTTCGTATCAACAAGAACATACGCTGATATTCGGTTAGGTTGTGTCTAAAATAACGCGGTTTTCAAGGATTACGGAGAGCAGGGTCTAAAAAAACTCACATGACAAGCAATATGGGACCCAGCAACTCCTTTGTATTGGTCAAATGTCGAAGATACATTCGCGTGTAGTTCTTGCATGTATAGCAATCGCACGAATCAAACACTCTTCCGTAGTCATCAGCATATCTAAATTCGGTGATAAACCAAATAAGATCTTTGTATTATGGAAACGCATCACTGAAGAATAGCATACTTATCGTCGTTGAAATCCAAAAGCTCGAATTGCGACGAGTATGGGTAATCGTCGGCTAAGCGAAGACATTTTGCCTAAAAAGATAAACTTAGTAAAACAAATTTGAAAAACCAACGAAAGGGAGTACGGTTTCAAAAGTTAGTTTGGTTCGAAATGAGCTAACTAAGTAATTCTATACATCCACAATTTCCACTGTAACGTCATTTGACCTTCAAGACTCAAATTGCGAATTTTGGGGCTGTGCTAAATGTTTTCTCCATGCTCTCGAAATCAAGCCAATCGACATTTCGAAGAGATGGAAAGGTTTGGTGGTCGACGGTGTTCCACCCATAGGGCACGACATTGAGAGGTGCTTTTGATAACCTAATTCGTGACCAATCAGCCTATCTGGCCCAAAATAGGAGAGAGGTTGCTGAAATGGTATCTTGTGTCTAGAAACATGATCCTTCGGTTTCATGACACTTTCGGATTTCGGAGTTGAAAACTGTAATCTTTTACGAGGTTCATGAACACTATCCATGAAATCCAACCTGGGTGGGGTGAGAGGGGGCGAGAGAGGGGCTACGATTGATAAGATCTACTCCCGACTCATGAGATTAGGCTTTTGATTTGAAACAAAAGCTTCGATTTGTAGACCATCTTCCAAACCGAAACTCAGCTTCGAAACGATTTGCACCACCACTTACCTCTTCAGAGATCTTGATAGCATACGATGAGTCGAAACAATCAAATCCGAGCCGAACAAGATACAACACCATAGCTGGATCGAAAGGTCCAGCCACGAAGCGAAATCGAGTAGGTGGGAGAGGGCCCTCAAATATTTCCAGCTTGAAATTGATTTGTGGAGGTGTTGCTTATGGAAAGTGACAAACGCATTCAAAAGTATTACTATACCCACAAACGTCTCTTCAACGAGTTTCTTCAACTCTTCTTTGTCCACCTCGCTCCCGTGTGTGAATTCTCGCAAGATCGACCTTGAAACTTGGAAATTAGATTGGAGGAAGGGGTTCTAATGGAGCGAGCGAAAAAGCTCACCGAATACCCATCGCATCTTTTGTTGAGACCAACATCCACCGCACATTTTCTCCGATAATAATCATTGAATCCTCCACCCAATGAGACGATCACAGCTCCCTGAAGAAGCAAATATATGTGCACAAGTATCACTGAAGCACATTCAAATTCCAATGAATCGAGCCCTTGTTTAAGCAGAGTAGGACTAATCAAAAGACAGAAAGTGTGCCGTGCTGGCAGCTCGAAAGTGTGCTACAAGGAAGCAGAGCCTTATCATTGGGCTGAAACCTGCTGCAGCTGTTACTAGCAGCGCAAGTCTACTCGGCGGAGTATCTGCGAATTCAACACAAGAATGCTTTCTAATCTGTTATACCCCTCCACACTCAGTGTCACTTTCTCGCAGCTCTAACTACCTCGAAAAAGTGGACTACGATTTAGGTTTGGGTGGTATCTTTTGATTTTCACATCACTGCCTTTCGCAGGTACTCTTCATTTCTGATAGGAACAACTATACCTCTCGATCGTAGAAGAAGCCTTTGAAGGGAAAATTATAAGCATTATCTATGGTGTGAGGGGGAGAACTTGGCATACTTCAGATTAGTGCAATAAGCACTCTGGTCTTGGTAACCTCTAACATTTATTAGTAGTATATTACAGTACCTCGGGGCTTTCATCATGATCCACCACTAGTTCGTAGAACGTTTTCGTTCGATCAATTGCTTTCGAAAGGCGTTTGTTGAGAGAACCTCGCGGTACATCATAATCGAGCATAGTGTCAAACGAATCGCACATAAAGTTCCGCACAATCTCGCGATACATTC